TCAGCAGGTCTGTAACCAGGAGAAGAACTCCAGTTTAGACCAGGAGGATCCTTCACAGATTAAAGGGGAACAGGAGGAACTCAGTACCACTGAAGAGGAAAACCGCTTGTACTAATGCAGGAGACTGCAAATTTTCCATCTCGTGAAAAAAGTGACCACAGTGAATCAGAACCATGCTGTGACCAGTGCCTTTCTCACAACTCTTCTGACACAGATGAGGATGAAAGCAAGGATGGTAACTCACACAGAAATAAGTCGGAGCAAATCGTATCAGGCTTGTCAGTTCAAAATTCCAAGACAGCTAAGTTATGTAGAACCTGTGGGAAAAGATTTATTTGGAAGTCAGACTTAACTAAACACATGCGAAGTCACACTGGTGAGAAACCACATTGCTGTAGCACCTGTGGGAAAAGATTTCATGTAAAATCAAATCTGAAAACACACATGCGAATTCACACAGGCGAGAAGCCACATTGCTGTAGCACCTGTGGGAAAAGATTTACTGTGAAGGGTCATTTGAATATGCACATGCGAATTCACACAGGCGAGAAGCCACATTGCTGTAGTAGTTGTGGGAAAAGATTTCATGTAAAATCAAATTTGAAAACACACATGCGAATTCACACAGGCGAGAAGCCACATTGCTGTAGCACCTGTGGGAAAAGATTTACTGTGAAGGGTCATTTGAATATGCACATGCGAATTCACACAGGCGAGAAGCCACATTGCTGTAGTAGTTGTGGGAAAAGATTTCATGTAAAATCAAATTTGAAACACACATGCGAATTCACACAGGCGAGAAGCCACATTGCTGTAGCACCTGTGGGAAAGATTTACTAGCAAGAGTGAGTTGAATATACACATGCGAATTCACACAGGCGAGAAGCCACATTGCTGTAGCACCTGTGGGAAAAGATTTACTAGGAAGAGTCACTTGAATATGCACATGCAAATTCACACAGGTGATAAGCCACATTGCTGTAGCACCTGTGGGAAAAGATTTACTAGGAAGAGTCACTTGAATATGCACATGCGAATTCACACAGGCGAGAAGCCACATTCTGTATTACTTTAGTACAGTTGAAATGCATTTCGGAAACCATCCTAATGCTAAGTTTCATTCTTAGAAAATGGTGATGGCAGATACATAACAGTGTTTGGATCATTTAAAAATGAGCATTCGGAAAAAAAACTTCATTTTGAAAAGGTTTTCAGAAGCTCAGTTTCTTTTTTCACACATGGACAAGAAAAAGTGTTTGTCTCGCAACATGAATGTTTGCACCTTTATCACATTTTCTGACATCCATTTTTTATTGTTTATGGGCTTTGTCTTTACTGAAGTTCTTCATTTTCTTTGGCATGGCCTCAACAGTGCTTGAGATATTTTTGGGTCTTGACATAAAAGAACTATTTCTCAGAATCACACTTGGAAATATCAGTTTAAAAAACTACCCGTGTACATGCGGTAGCCTTTATTGAAATAGTTTTTTCTCTGAAGTTCACAGTTTGAGGTGTTTAAAGCATGAGACAGTTTACTAACTGTACACTGTTCGCTAACTTGCACACTGCCAGAACTCCTGTTGGGATTTGTTTTTTTTTTTAATGAATTTATACACTAGATTGACATTAATGGGAAGTGCTTTGTAGATGGAAGGGAATATTTTAGGGAATGACATGTTAGGCGGTTGATTCAGTTCTCGTATTGTTTGTGACCCATATACTTAGGTCATTTATTATTCATATTTTTAACATAGCTTGCACTACTGTTATGTGAACACTGTTGATACCCAGCTGTTGTTTTGTAAAAGGACCTCAGAAGAGTCCCGGGAGTCTTCATCTTTATTTATCTTGATTGGTGTTTGGCCTGCATGTACTTATGGCGAACACCGTAGTGGGCTTTTCTTTCTTCTAAATCTTTGTTAATCTTGTATGTTCAATAAAACTGTTGGCATCACACTTCACTCATCTCCTGTAATTTTGTGTTTTGGTTTCAATTGTGTTCCAAAAGCCTGAATCAACATCTTTCCAGCCTATAGAAATTCTGCAAGCCTTTAAATTTGCGACCCCAATCCTGCTGCTCTTTTGAAAAAACTAACAGTACTTCCAACGAGCTGTTAAACAGGGCTTCGTGTGATCTGCCTTTTGGTGATCAACTGGTCAGAAGATTCAACGCATTCAAGTGGATAATCATGCTAACTTCCTTGATTCTTGTCCTCACTTTCCAGGTCCTCACGGTACTCCATCAATGTCTCCTGAAGTTGTGTGTTTCAGAACAAAAGTGGAGCAAATAATAGCAAACACTGAACACACACCTCCCCTGTCTGCCAAGAGCATGTCTAAGACTTTTCTATACCACCATCAGTGACGTGAAGACAGATTGTTCAATATTAGATTATTCTGTTATTATATGTTACCTTATATATGTAATCAAGTAGTTGAATTAGAATACTGCTGTAGATCACATTATACCCTTAATATAGGTGTGTGAGCTGTATGTAGTTTAGTTCTCATTATACTTTTGAGTTACAGAACATATTCACATATTAGTTCATTAGATAATGTGCAGAAATGAAATAGAAGTTGATTTAAGGAAAAGCAGATGCTGGCTTCACGGTGCAGTTGAACGCTGGCAACGCGAGAGCGAAACACGTCCGTAGGTTTGGTTTATGATACGGCGTGTTCCGGTGGTGCGGCCGTGAAGTGCAGTAGTGGTTGGTGCTAGTTTTAGTACATTGGATAGAGGTTTTGACGGTGGTTTGTGGCGTCAGTCGAGTTTTAAGGGCTGCGGTCATAATACAAAGTAAAATTTTAAGTACATAGAGCAAAACCTGGTTTATGATGTCAGGTATAACTTCGGGATGCAGCATCACTTTTATGATGCGACTTGCCCCGTTGTGGCGGTCATAAGCGCAGGAAAGGGGTATTTTGGTCTATGGTGCAGTGTGCTTTAAGAAGATCTAACAGTTGAGCTCAGAAGTTTCTGTGTAATCTTCCACTGATGAGGACGCTCTCTGTGTGTCTCACTGATGGTGTAACGCGCTGTGTGTGTAAGGCGCGCTCTGGCTATGTGTGAGGCGCGCGCTGAGTGTGTTTCTGTGTGTGAAGTGTGAACACAGTGACAGTGACGGTTGATGTGTTTGATTAGGAGGACATTAGAGCAAAGACACATTTTAGGATCAAAGGTTGATGCCTAGTGTACCTGTGGAAATAATTTTCCCTAGGAGTGGCGACCCTCCTGTTCGTGGACGCGCGGCCAGGACCGGCGGCGTCCGGGTGCCGAGGTGGTGACTTGGGAGGTGAGGGCCCCCGCATAGCTACGGAAATAACACTGGAACGGCCGTGTAATCACGGGTTTCACATTTATTCCGGACTAGACAAGACACATTTTGCGAACAAAGGTTGAGTCTAGATTAGTAAAGAAATATAAAAGGTTGAATTCCTCGTTTCAGTGGTTGAATTGTTGTGTGCCTGTCCCTGACGAGTGTGAAATTAATAAGAGGAATTTGGAGCCAATAGAGATAGACGGGATAATTGGGTGTATTACTCTGTGGTGTATAAAATAAAAGGAGAGATAGTAAGAGGTGTGCAGTGGAGAATTATGGAGGAGTACAGAGAGGATGTGTTGGGAGGACTGGCGTACAGTTTACGCTGTCAAGGTGGCGGGTTGCCTGCTTATCTGTTTTAACATGTGATTGAAAATGAAATGAATAATCTCTTAGTGTGTTATACAGGAGCTGCGGACCTGGACCAACTGCCCCACAGCACAGCGGTCGAGCAAATTATAGGTAATGGGACCACCCAGCACGAATCAGCAGCTGTGAAAAAGACAGCAGCGAGGAGAGAATTAGGGAGAATTAAGAGAAGTTTTAACACATAAATTGGGGCCAACGGACTTGTGGAGGTTGGGAAGGCGTCCGGAGCATCACACAAAAAGGTGAAACAAAACACAAGCAGAGAATCTGAGAGAAAGGCTCCTTTTAAGGTACGCCTAGTTTGAGAAAGATAAAATTAACCTGCTTTTATACAAATGCACTACACGCAATGAAGAAACAGCTTTACACTCATGAACACGTGAAGATTTTCAGCAAGGTTAAAGAAAAATTAATACTTAAATGATGAAGTCTATAATTACTGACAAGAAACCTCTGGGTTGCAGGACAACAATTTAACTAAAAAAAAAAAAAAAAAAAGGAACACTGGTCTAACCAACAGGCAAGACACACAAATTTAGTGGTTAAAAGATTCAAATTGTGACATGTTTTCTGTTGATTGATTAATAAAGTGATTACTGATGAAGAAAGTTCCTTTTTTGGGCTTTTACATGATCTTAAGATTTTATATGTTACTTGTGTTGTCCTGTCAACTTGGTGGGTTTGATTATAATCGGGAGACAAAAACAAAAAAGGGGGAAAGAAGGCTGACACAGGGCCTGGCCCATTGTCTCCCTCTGAATAACACAGCCAACACAACATCATTTTCCTGTTCGTTTGGTTTTTTGTTTTTTGTTTGTTTTTGTTTTGTTTTGTTTTTGTTTTTTCTATATATATTTTACAGGCTGCTTGCGGCCCTGAAAGCCGAGGCTGACTGGACTCCTGCTCTCCCCATACGTGACACTGACCAAATGCTGCACAGCTGGACCCACAACAACGACCTGAGAATGTCAACAGACCTGCAGGAATGTGATCTCATGCGCCGAGACGGAGAGCACTAAACCTAAGGCCCGTTTCACTACACGGGGGAAAATTCCCAGACTGCGTCAGCTGACAGAGCTGTGACGAGACGCCCGCCAGCCCGAATGAAAAGTAAGGCCGAGCGAAAGAATGCTGACCTTGATAACTTTGCATTCCATGTGCAGGACAGTGATGGACCACACGGATGATCGGGTGGCGAAAAAGGGCGTGACCGAGACAAGAGGAGTAACTGAGGACAGAAGGCACTCAGATGGACAAAACACAGAAGAAGATTGCAGGTTTCACCTGCGGTGAACATCGACACTGGAGAAAGGACTGCCCAATTGGGGTCAGAACCAGGACGGACTGAATTTTGAGCAGCAGCAGCAATGGTCGCAAACAAACTGAAAAGGAGGGGGGGGCAGGACCCCAGGGCATGCTTCAGGCCGTGGTTTACCAGAACACCAGAACAGGAAAGTGATGAACACACACACACAACCACACACACACACCACACGTCTCCAAACACACAGATTCAGAATGAAGTGAAATACACACATGAACACGTGCACTCGTTGAGTGAGTGAGAAATGACACACCACACATATACCACACTACACACCACACACACACACACAACACACCACGGAATGCTGATTCACTGAGAAGTGATGCACACACTACACATGCACACGCTTGTGCAATGAAGAGTGATCCACACGCACACACACATACACGCTGATGCAATGAAGAATGCTTTGCTTATGCTGATATGCAAAATGGTGCACACAAACATCCCAATGCATAATTTTTATGAGGAGCCATTGATTACCATTAATACTTAGAATGTGTTATATGTCACCCAGAGGGCATTTATGTAGATTTTAGAATAAGGTCTAAAACGGTTTGGTTATGAAAACAATGTCTGTGCGTGATGTCTGTTTATGGCTCAAGGCCTTGACTGAATTCTTTGCTGTGCTTCACACAGCCCTGATGAGGAACAGTGGCACAGAGTGAAAATGATGAATTATAGTGTAAGTTTTAGGTTGGAGTACGGCATTTTCTGTGATTGAGTTTTAATTCAAGGAGGAACAAAGGTGTTACGGCACCTGAGGTTCTCATTCCCACACAATATTGTCCCGGCAGGAAGCAAAATGTTCCTGTGAATTTCTGGTTGATTGTTTGGTTTTGTTTAGCGCTAGCTTGATTTTATCAGTGAGCTTTGGCTTGTGTTCTTTCTCGTAAGCGAGAGAGGGATAGTTTTATGCTTGGACATGTCTGCAACGGGCCCTAGTTTTGTTATTGTTATTAGTGTTTTTTGGTTACGTCTGTTTTCGTTTTTGTTACAGCGCACTGGAGAAAAATCTGAGAGGTGTGATCCACCGGTGGTGTA